CATGTTTGTTGAGCGTGTGAACGTAATGGCCAATCAGAGGCATTTAAGTTAATCAGAGTCCGCTCAATATGCCACGGTTTGTTCAGAATAAGTTCTACTCGCAAATCGACACAAATAACTATAAACACAAATAAGTCTGCCACTTGTTCTGTTAACTGTAATGTGGTTTTGTTTTTCATTTTATTACTAACATGCATTTAATCCTTCTAATGCAATGTTTACTTAATTGAAATTTTTTTAAATATTACATACTAATGTTTTGATGTATTATTTACTTAATAATTAGTAGTAATTTGTAATAATAATTAGTAATAGTACTAGTAATTAACCCTAAAACACAATGCAATGCAGTGCAAAATTAAAAATAGGGGTAAAACACCTGTAAAAAAAACAATATGGAAAATTCCTACATATTAATACAGTACATTGTGCCCTGTTTTTACAGATTTTTTTGGAGTGTACATATCGCACGAGAAAAATCCCTTATTATATCACTATTTATATTATATCTGTTCAATTCATGAAACGTGACTGTGTGTGCAATAAACAGTTCAGCATGACAAGACTGAATCTTACTCTCTCTTAATTCTAGCTCTTTGAGAAATTGGTTGACCTTGACCTTTGCCCTGAACATACTGTTGACAGTTATGCTTGACAAGAAGAGATTATTTTTAGTGCTCTTGAATACTAATGTGCCTTCTCTTCCCATTCTCCTGTAAATGAGAAAATAATGACAGGTCGAGTATATTTCTAGTGTGTGGATTTAGACTTTCATTCATTATTACAATTTCCTACGCACAAAGTCAATATTATGCTGCACAGAAGCAGATGTGATGATGAGATGAGTGGGTGGGTGGCCAAGAAATGAGAGTTTGGATTATTTCACTCATAAGAGAAATTGAGGACAGATGCTCCGCATGGAAAGGAGTGTCTGTTTCCCTGAAGGAATGCGGAGTCACTTCCCAAGCCCCCTTTGTGGGGGCTGTGCGAAGTACCTGCATATTTTACCTCTCATCAAAATCCAGATGCAGACTGTAATGTTGCCGACACATCTCCAAGCCTTCTGAAACTCCATGAGCCCACTGTCTTAGGATGTCTCTGTTTTTGGCAACCCACCCACAGAGCAGCCTACCTTTATCACTGTCAAAAGGGAACGTTTCTGCAGGAAGATGGCAGTAATGCTCAGCTTCTTTTTGTTGGGGTGGTATCTGGAAAAAAAGATGAACTACACCGGTTCATCTCCTAGAACAATAAGTTGCAGACACAGAAGGTTTGTCATTTATGGTAGCTTCTTTAGCACCAGAGGATTTATTGCTCTGGGAGATGCATGATGGGAAAGTTGGCATATACATAGAAAACTGCAAGTAGAAACATTGATCTCTGAGAGCTGAATTTTATGGCTGTATCAGAAAAAAAAGGGGGAAAGTATTTTTCAGTTCAGAGAGGTTGCGCTGAAATATTTTTGTTTTAGCAAAGCTATATTGATAAGATACATGAATTAGATGTAGCTACATGAATTACATGAATCTATCTATCTATCTATCTATCTATCTGTCTGTCTGTCTATCTTTCTTTCTGTCTGTCTGTCTATCTAAAACATAAAAATTGGATTTATGAATATGAATATATTTACATTAACTTAATACGTAAATAAATACTTTATATAAATAAATAAAATAAATGAATAATAATAATAATATATTATCAATATAATATAATAATATACAGAATTTGGGGGTTAGTAAATGTTTTAAAGAAATTAATACTTTTTTCAGCAAGGAAGCATTAAATTGTACAAAACTCATTTACAGCGTTACAAAAGATATTCATTTCAAATAAATTATGTTCATTTGAACTTAAGAATCCTTAAAAATATGTCAGAGTTTCCACATGAATACTAATCAGCACAACTGTTGGCAAAGAGCACAATATACTGTAATAATAATAAATGTTTATTGAGCAGCAGATCAGCATATTAGAATAATTTCTGAAAGATAATGTGACACTAAAGACTTGAGTAATGGCCGCTGAAAATTCAGCTTTGCAATAGCAGGAATAAATTACATTTTCAAATGTATTAAAATTGTTTTACAACATTACTGTTTTAATGTATTTTTCATCAAATAAATGCAGCCTTTGGGGATATAAAATATTTTTATGGTTTAAATGTTGTTTGCTGAGAGAGAGAGAGAGAGAGAGAGAGAGAATGCACAGATACTTTTGAATGGCTGTCAATGTGGAAAATGTATGTTGCTGCCAGATGGTGTAATTCCAACATCTACCAGTAGGGGCAAATGCTAAGCAGGAAGAACTTGACCCCTTGGTTCAGCTCCAGTAAACTAGTGACATAGTTCAACACCATGGACAGCGCCTCAGGCTGCATCCTTTTTTTTTCCCACTGCTTCTTAGACAAGGACATAATTTCAAACAGCACTGCAGAGTCAGTTACGCAATTAATGATGACCTAATGACCTACAATAAGGCGAAAAATAACTGCAAATGTAAAAGGCGTGGCTCATTTGTGGTCTCTAAGCATAGGACCACACACTGTTAAACTCAATCTGTTGTTTCAGGCAAACTATAGGAGCTCCTGCCACTCACTGTTTTGACGTCTTTGGTTCTTCCCATCAGGCACTAGTTTTCCCCTGTTCCTCCCTGTTTGATTCTTGCACAGTATCCGTCAAACTCCCGTGGCTTAGCAACACTGTATTTCCTGGTATCATCAACAAATACACACAAGCAGTGCTCCTCCCCTATACATCAAAGCTTTCAATGCCACAGCAAGTCATTTACACATAATGAACATAATGTACTGCTTGATAAAAAGGAAAGAAATCCAGACTAAGTGCTTCCATTTGAAGATAAACATTGCTTTAGGGATGATCTCCAGTCAGTGTCAGTGTGAGTTACGTCTCAGTGCTCTCTCTTCTGTGTAAGTGCCCCTGATTCCCTTGAGGAAGGCAGTGTGTCATAGCCAGCTTTGTGCTCTTTGGCAGTTTTGACAGCCACACTGGCTCAGTAAGAGGGCTATTGGAACACTAAGCTGGTTTGCTTCAGGCCAAGGTGGAGGAAGACTGGCCCTTTGGCCTTTTAGCAGACGCTACTGAATGATTCATATAGTGGGGTGGTTGTATCATCTTGACGTAATGTTTCACAGAGTGACTTGCAGGGGTGTCACTTTTCTAGTGTCTACAGTCTGTCCCTCAAACAGTGGGGTGAAGCTGAGTAAAATATCGATTTTTGAAATGGATCGTGATCTCTATTTCATCACGATATCCCTTCTTAAAATCTCAAGAGCGATCTTTTACCTTTTTACTTTTTTCTGTGGCTTTTTAGCAGCGGCGCCCCCCTGTTGCTGAACCAGCAGTCTCGTAGCCTTTTGTATGAGTTGGCTGTCTGTATTGAAAGTGATGAGATAAAAAGAGTGAGTACCACAAAACAATGGCAAGAAAACGTCTTTCTATTAGGTTGTCCTCGCAGGCTGCACGCAATAACATAGCGTGATACCGGTTGTATTCTGATTCACAGACAAATGACTCTTTTAAATCACTTTTTTTTTATTAATCAGAAACATACCTTGAAATCAGTGTAGCCTGATTCATGAACAAATGACTCTTATGAGTCAATCTTTTTTAGTGAATCTAAAACATACAGTGATATCAGTGTAGTCTGATTCACAAACAAATGACTCTTATAAGTTGAACCTCTTAGTTAATCAAAAACATACAATGCAAGTAGTGTAGTCTGATTCATGAAAAAATGGCCCGTATGAGTTCATCCTTCAGAGTGAATCAAAAACATACAGTGCAACCATTGTAGTTCGATTAATGTAAAAATGACTTTCATGAGTTCATGAATAAAAACATATTCTTACAAATCAGACCTTTATATGAATCATTCAAAAAGACAAACAAATACAGAAGTTTGAAGTTTGATTGATATGAGATAGACTGAATCAATCCTATGAACTCAGAATCTGTCAGATAACATCAAGTTATCATTGCACTCAGTGACAAATTTGTGATAAATTTTAAAATACATATAAAAAATAAAATGCCTAAATGAATAACCAATAAACAATTTGTTTGAAATGTTTTGATTTATACATGTTGTATAGATTCATGGCTTTTCTATACTCTTTAATTGGAGTTTATAATTTCATAATAATGTAATCATTTTGTAATAATTAGTTTTATAATTACAGTTTGACACAAGAAATGCACTTTAAAGGTTACTTCAGTTACTCACAGAGCAGCTTTGGTTGTATTGATTATCAGATAGAAGTTTACTTAGTTTGGGCCCTGTTGTTAATTATTTTTTAATTCATATTAAATAATAATATTTATTGCAATGTACCAAGTTAGGAGGATCGCTCTATATTTTACAGCATAAACTGCGAAAGAATGTTTTCATGTAAATAAAATAGACATTATAACAGAAAAATGCCCAAATGAATTAGAATCAGAATTGAAACGAGAGCTTGTGAATCAGAATCAAATCAGGAAATCTATATCAGTACTCAGCAGCTATACAGTACAACACTTTATCTGTGCTTAAAATAAAGCAAGAGTCCTATAAAAATCAAGCCATCTCAGACTCCAGCCCCCCATCTCCCCAGTCACCAAGGCCACAGATTTACCTTTGACATATTGTTGTGTGACTGCAAATTACTCCCTAAGGGAGCGTGTTCATGTACACACACTCACACACACACACACATGCATAAGTCACATTTCACAATGGGGGGACACACAATAGAAAGGAGTACTGTAAGCTGGGGGTGGGTGCCAGTCTCAGTGAAGTCACCCTCTTGGAAAACCTCCCCTTAACCCCCACTTCACACCCATCTACCCGGCATCCTCTGCACCTCAGGAGTGTGGCAAGGGGGTATGGTGTAAATGGGGTGCGGTGGAGAACAAGTACATGGCTAAGATGGAGGCTCCCAGCATGATTCCTGCCTGGCTGCTGTTTTCACAGCTTTAATTGAAGGAAGGAGGGCTCTGTTGCTTCCTTCGAGGCCCTTAGACAAACAGCTTGGTGAACACAGTCTTTCCTTGGAGGAGTGGAAGCTAAACCGGGGAAAAATGAATGTGATATTTATATACGATTTTGTTTGACAAACAGATTTTGAATAGCTGTAACTCTTTGGTTTGAACTGAAGCATTATAGTTTTTATGGATGTTTTTTTTATAGCTGGGTTTTTTTTTTTTACTTTTTGATGCTACGGACACCCAAATATGGCAAGGGACTACATTCCCAAAAATTTTAAGAAAGCTATATATGTATAAGCTATATCAGTATCTATCTATCTATCTATCTATCTATCTGCCATGAATAAAACTCACTTATACCATTTGAGGAAAAATATTAAGTGCTTCCAAAATTATGAATCGGCTTTTATATTGTCATTCTGCAAGTAAATTGTCAAAATATTATTTGGAAAATATATACCTTTAATGAACTTGAAAGCACATCTGAGATCAACACAATATATTTAAATTCCTGTTCAAAAGTTTGGGGTTGGTAAGCTTTTTTAAATGTTTTTTTAATATTATTACAGTTAAAAAGAATAATAAAAAATGTATATATATTTTTATATATAGTCACTAGTGTGACATGATCATTCAGAAATCATTCTAATATGCTGATTTGGTTAATGTTGTTATCAATGTCAATAATAATACTGCTTAATATTTTGTGGAACCATAATTTTTAGATGATTTAAATTTTAGATAGATTTTTAGATGAATAGAAAGTTTAAAAGAACAGCATTTATTTGAAATCGAAATCTTTTTTCTTCTAAAATTCACAGCCCTCATTTAACCCCCTTGCAGACCCCATTTCGAAAACCCTTGGTCTATGGTATTCCACAGAAAATGTGTAGCCACAGCAAAGTCCCTTAAAGTTTTCTTCAAGCTGCCATCAAATACCATGTGTATACACATGCTCACCTACAAATATACAGTCCTTTGTGGCCTGTTGCTCAGCAACACTTCCCTGATTAAGTTAGTTGACTATGGGAGCAAGCATCCGCCTTCTGCATGGACCACAGGATCAGATCACACTAATGGATCTGGAGCCACACCCTCAGCCCCGGTCCCACGGGTCGAGTTCCCTTCCCAGCCTTTGTCTCTCAGTCAGAGAGAATGTGTACCAGGACAACACTACTATACATTAGGGACATCTATTTTTATACATGGTGGCTTGAGAGCGATCATGGAAAACTCCCACTGTTGAATGCAGAAACGTCCCCGGAAAGACTTATGGAACACTGAAGAGTTTTCTTGAGTGCTGTTTGTTCCACCCACTGGAATGTGTTCAGATTTATTGTGAAGCTCCTTTAGGCTTGTAATTTAATACGTGCTGCATCGTTAAAATAGTCCTTTTATATCGTTTAGTAGGGTAAGTAGTGTTTCCATCATCATCTAAGTAGAGCTAAACAGAAACACGAGCTTGCCACATTTACACACATTCATCAGCTTAAACAATCCAGACAATTAATACTTTTACCATGTACACCACTTCAGTAATAGATTTGATCACAATATATGCTGGCCATGCTTTTCAGCTCTAATTAAAGAATTGGGTTTGAAACCAAGTCTCGAAAAGAAAAGGAGAGGAAAAGTAATGATGGAGTTTGTGAAATGGAACCTAATAGTTTGCAGCATTGTAGGGCCACTAAAATTGCCATCCGTGATAAGTGGCGAATTTTTTATCGTAAGTTGTCACAAGGCACCTAAGCCAAAACCCATATCATCTTTCATAACATCATGTTCACGCACACATTCACTCGCCCACCCACCTCCCGCCCTTCCTACATGCACACGCACCCCTCGCATAACACTCTCAGAGACGCATCCATACTCACATAAAGCCTGGGGGACAATGCCAAATTGAGGAAAGATTGATTTCATGCCTGGGACAACGGTTTACATATTGAATTAGTGGATGAATAAGACCTGATTTCCATATCAGGAGAAATATGCTGAATTCAATACAGGCTTAACCAAAATATATGGCGGAAAAAAATAACAAACAATAGATGGTTTTGCAGTGCATCCCTCCCTAAGGGTGATGGGTGTACCTCATCTATACATACAAGAAAAAGGCTATCTTCAACATGCACTAGCACTATCTGGAAATAAGGATAATGAATATGACAATGGTCACGTTGAAGTTCACAAGGACCTCCCCCTTCGCTTTTGTTGTCCTCCTCATTCTCTCAGCCTCACATTCCCTCAGTCATCAGCAGCAATTACAGCTAAGCATTAACACGATTGATCTTTTAATTCTAGAGCTACAGTGAGGTGATGAATGAAACAGTTAAGCATACTTCGTCCTATCTCAGCAGAATTAAGGAGCGATCGCACCACTGAAGAAGGTTTCACAATTAAGTCATGGACGTGAAGGGACCATCCACCACATTCATTTCTTAACTGAATTTTAAAATAGTGGTGGCGTCAGATGATCATTATGTCATGACTTGCTACTCGATACTGGTTTAGCCTAACTGCAGAGAGCACATAACAAAGCATTCACAGCTTCTGCGTTACAATAAGGCATAAGAACTAAATTTGGTCAGAAATGATGCGAAGCCACCCACAAAGGATTGAATACATGCAAAGAACTGAGAGACCCCGTTTTACACGTTTTAGGAGCTCAATGGAGCATGCATTTGAATATAAGGGCTTCTTCAATTTGATTCAGTTTGATTCATTTTTTTTTAATGACTCTTGCTTCCTCAGAGGCGGATCTCATGTAATTTCTGATGGAGGGACCAATACAATGAGAATGGAAACACTGGATGGATGGGAAACATAGAAGTGCAAAAGACATGCATGTATGCATTTTAAGTATAACATGCACTGGGATAAAGAAGAAAAATAAACAATAGAAAGAAAATCCACCAAGGAAAAAACAAACAAACATATATCAATACTACAGTTACTCCAGTGTCATTTTTTTTTTTCAGTCAGACATACTGGCTACTGGCTCCAATCACAAACACAGGCAGGACAATCACATTCCATTCGGAGAAGACAGGTGATTTGAAGTACAGTTCACAAATGAGTGGGCTAAGAAAGAGGAAATCGTGCCAGCTACTATATATCCCTCTCCCACTCCCCCTTTTAATGGGGGAGTCACAACAGTTGAAACAGCCCTGCACTTTACAGAGTATGTTCGATACATCCCTGGGCAGACTTTGGATAAAATAAGACTCTATTCTTTTAGCAGATTACAAAAATAAGTATAACATTCAGAACTTTGATTGTCTTTTTAAAATCTATTTATTTTCTGCATATGATGATGAATTCGAAAAGATATCAGGCGCATAAAGTTCAAGGTGCACATTTTTTTCTTCTTTTTTTTTTTTCTCCTGATGGTTTTTGTTCTCTTTTGTTTTTAACATATAGCTATATACATGAAACTGAAGGGTTGGTCCACAAATTATAACTGTGCGATTTCAAGTGCTTTTGTACAAAAAGAAAAACAATGTTATTAGTAAAATATTCATTTTAATGGCTTTACTTCATACATAAATACATGTTTAAAGAACACAGGCGCGATCCACTGATTAATCAGTTATATCAGAATGACTTTGATCTTAGGACTGAATGTACACATGGAGGGGCAGTTTTGTCAGCGCTACAAATAAGCAAATCGACGTCCTTTGTTTTTAATTCTCTGTCTGTACCTTCTTCCCAGGACGGCTGCTAAATACTTCTTGACGGCCATCTGTTTTCGGTAACGACTGTAAATGTCGGTGAAGATCCCATCCGAATGCCTTTTTGATAAGGTTTCCGATTCGTCCTCCTCGCTGCTTCCTCCGCTGCAAATATATCAACTATTATTAGGCTACCGGCTGGCACAGAAAATGTGTTAACAGGTTTCAGTACAGCATAGACGCTCTTGATCCTCCAAACATATTTTTTTATTCCATTGTTCAATAATAAATTATCGAGCATTTTTTTTCGTTAGCATTACAACGAATTATATTAGAAATCGAAAGAAGATCCAGCAGACAAGCCTCATAAATTATGCATGTTGGAATTTAAATGTATTCTGACGCATTGTCTCTCGGCATTTTTTCTCTGACAATATACAACATTTTCGTATTAGCACAAGCAATTAACATCACTTTTAATTTATCGGGTACGAATTGTTCCCCATGAAATTCCACGCCCATGCGAAGCCACAGACAAAGACACAAGAAGTCGGGGAAAATAAAGACAAGAGAAAGTCAAAACAGGACAACGAGAAATCACCTCCACTGAAATTAAGAGGGGGAAAACAAAGATGACGGCAGGTAAACGCTTAAAAAATGCCCTTACCCTACGCGAACTGCCATCAGAGAATGCAGATCTTTTCGTGCTGATAACTGAACCAGGATGTCCCTCAAGGCTCTATCTAATAATCCATCTGCATGCCTTTCCGTTCTGAGATAAAACGCCAAACACATAATATCAGTGATGAAATACCACAGAACACGTTTGTTGCAAAGTAATCAGCCTGATTTTAGTTGTATTCTTCACTCGGCTAAACGCGTAATAGTGTTACTTTCGATTCACCTCGTAAATCTGTCAGTCGATCTATCTATCTGTCGCTCTATCTATCTATCTATCTATCTATCTTAAATAGTCACTTGATGCAAATATCAACAGCAACAATAACAGAAAAAAAGCAAAGGAAAAAAACTGGGAAACAAAAGGAACAGACATAGCGGAACAACATAAACTAAACATAATGACATTGATTCTCATATGGCATACAGCGGAGGGATGTGAAATAATGTAGCCTACCTTTTCTCTGGCGGATAGTATAGTGTGTACAGGTCATCCGTGAGAGATGAAGGACTTCGTATAGCAATTTGATCAGTGCCAAAAGCCAGGTCGCTTAACGAGTTTCCGTCTTCGTCAAATACGTTGTCTAGTCTGGAATTTAAAAAAAAAAAAAGAGAGATTGATGCATTTAATAAATCACAATTTAATCACCATAGTAATATGATGTCAATAAAAGCGTTTTAAAAGAAAGTCTAAATAAATCGCTAAATTAAGTCTACCGTATATTATACAGTTGTCTTGCGAAAAAAATAATTAAAATACATGGTGAGATGATAAATGCTTCGTGCTTGAAGCAGGTTCATGGATCTAATTGCTTTTAAATAAACTGTCCTATTATTGTGCTATCTTTGTTGGGTAAATGGGACAATAATAATATACTTCCAAGCGTCTCTTCGCAGTTTTTTTTTAAAGCATAAAAATTATGACGAAGCTTGCTATATTTGGCCATATTTGCTCATTAATGAGATTTGATGGTGACTTGTGAAACGTAGGCTACTAGGTATGATTAACCAAATATAACTGACAATGTAGGCTAATCTTATAGGCTAATCATCAGTAAATTAACACAACAAAAGGTCCCGCACTGAGCATCTCATTCGTTTTTTCTTCGGTTTGTACAGTGACGCCACTGTACCGTCATCTTACGGGCCACCCGTTACAATCAATCATTGGTTTCTCATTTTCATACAAGCTTCACTGCATCTGCCTGTCCCGATGGAGAAATTCCTTCTTAGCGATACGAACGCCCTCCCACTCTGTAGCCTTGCGTAAATACTCGGAGGAAAATCTCGTTGGGCTGTTAGTGTTTGAAGTCAACAGAATAATACAACAAAGCCAATCCTTTCCCACTATAAATTTAGTAGCCAAAAAATCAAAATAAAATCCTTATCCACTATTTTTTCTGCGCCTCGACAAGATGATTCAATTCTAGACTGTTTAGACTGTAAAATAAAGCTTGTCGCAGAATATTGTCCCTTTTGAACATGAAAGAAACCCCCAAAACGTTGAGCAGAAAAGCTCATACATACCTCATCTTGGGAAAAGTCATCCCAATAGGCGTGCAGTAGGCGCTGTAGTGCATCATGATTCCGTAGATGAGCAAAGCTAAAGTCGCTTTACTAGATCTGGCCATGCTGTAAAGATACAAGAAAGTTTAAATAACTTAACAATATAAAACATTTAGCCTATAGAGTAGCCGAGATACAGTCCTGGTAAATTTACAAATTCATCGAACGCCTGGGTTGGGTTGTATTATATTCGATATAGCCTAGGTAATGCGCAGAGAACTTATGTTAAGAAAGCCTCTACGATCCAGAAAGGCAAACCAGGAGTGATTTTTTTTTTACTCGTATTTCCCTCTCATAAGATGAAATTTGAAAAGTTTAAAGAATGCCATGCATGCGCAACAGAATCCTTCTCCCGATGAGGCAAACGATAAAAACCGGCAGATAATCTTTAGAAAAGGAAAATCCAGTTGCCTGAGCGTCTTCGTATCATAATTCCTTGGTTTAAACCGAATAAAAACGTCTTTGCCGGATTTTAACCTACCCTATTGCAGAGTAGGTAGACAGAAATGCTGTTGGATGCGACTCGGGTGCGGCTGTGATTGTGTGAGAGAGATAGAGATCTTCCTCACAGCACCTCTTCCCTGAAGCGCCACCGTCCTTTGCTTATGTGCTCGTCGGTTCAACCCCTGCACTTTTATACAATAACCTAACCAATATAAACAAAATCACTTTTGCAAACAAAACCTCAGCAGCACTCGTTTGTCTACATATCCTTTTACAAAACTTTTTCTGCTGTGCTCCGATTACCTCGGATTTTTATCCATGAATAGGAAGTCTTGCCTTTTTTTCAGTAAGTCACATCAAGTATGCCACAGACGTCATCAACCCTTCCTCCCGGGATATAATATACAGTTCCTTCCTCATCGATGAACGAGTCACACACATAGGCTACACCTCCAATGGAACTTTCCTCTAAACGTAATTTCGGGAGAAAGGACAATTTGCAACTTTTTTTCAACTTGACATGACAATGTGACTGCCGATTAGGCTCACCAGTCCGTGGGTTATCTTGAGGTCCCAAACCACATCAGTCACTCCATACAGACACTGTCGGACTGTGCACTTATGGGACACGACAACACAAAACGCCACATTTGTCACAGGGTCACTGCTGAGCACTGTCCAGCAGTGGGGTACTGAAATTTCATTGTGAATAAAAATAATGCAGACTTTTTTAAAATCTTTTTTAAACTTGCGCTATATTTATATACTTTGTCTCTTTCGGTTTTTTTTATCAAGAAAACACATAGTCTATTTTAGTCTCCTATGCGTCATGGCCTTTCTTTGGTGAACGGAAATTAGCTACTGCGTCTGGAATTTTTAGAATGATAGGCCTACCTAGCCATATGCTCCACTTATAACTTCAATATAAACGCTCGTTAGTTTTTCGTTATATCAAATTCACAAAAGTAAAAGTTATTAGTCAAACGAAATACGTGATTTTGTTATGGTACTATGATCAAACTGCCTTGTGCATTTACTGGCCTGTCCGCATGCAGATGACGAGGTCTGGAGTCGTGCACCACCGATGGAATTGGTATGAATTAATTCATGATTACGATTAGTAAACTCTGACGTCATATGACGAAACTGTAAATCACCGCTTCGTATGTATTCTCATACTCATTCTGTGCACAGAGCGTGATTTTGTTGAACAATGAATCCGCGCCTTGGTTCTCTAACACCTCAAGTCTGTTTTTTATCTCAATACTGTCCCCATGTGTTTCAGATTTGAAATTACATAGGAAACATGAAACAATTACATATTTCCCAAAGTTAGACTTTTTATTGAAATAAACTAGGCTGTAATTAAAGCGTTTTATCTAAACATTCTATATAGCGTCATAAATAACGACAGTAGGTAGGCCTATGTTTTGTTGATGCACATTCTGTAGCGCTCGGGAACGTATTGTTGCTATAGTTACCACACAACCTCTGTTCGCGAGACTTTAAACCTAACTTGTGTGACGTTTTGTGAAAACGCTGTTGAAAGTTGTGGTTACTGAAACTTTGATGAAATGTGGCTATATGTATATACTTGAATAATAATACAGAAATAGTAGCCTATATATGTCATCATTTTACTTCGTTTGGGTTGGTTGAATCTAAATGGGGGGTTATACACCCAATATTCCCATAACTCGCAACATCATGAATCGCATACCTCATTTGGCTACCCAAGTTACAGCATTTGATCGTAATATTATTCCTCTAAAAGCCCTGTTCATTCATTCATTCATTCATTCAGATATTTATGTATGTATGTATGCATGCATGTCCAGGCCAGTATTATTTTAATAATTGTTTTCGGTTCACATAAACCATACTTGCCGTAAAAAGAGACAAACACAACTACTGTAAATTAAGTAAATGAGAAAGACTGGAAAACGTGCTTTTACTGACAGTGTGTAAGTCAAGAGGAGGAATTATTTACAGTAAAGCTATTAAGTTGCTTCCTCTGTGTACACTGCTGTAACCAATGAGATTACGGTACATTTGTCAACTTGAGTGCAAGAATTGATGTCCCTAATTACAGCGGGAGGAAATCGTTGTTTCGTCATATATTCGTCTCCTGTGTCACTGCATATTGTGGTACTTTAAATTTCCAACTGGTGGTTTATGGTTTCCCTTGTGGATGAACACGACCTCTCTATGACGCATATAAGCACACATACAGCATACAAGAAACCTCACTTAAAACGGCTTCAAAATTAAAAACAAGATTTTTTCATTTTTGGAAATTATTATTTTATATATACATAAATTATAAAACTGAAGTATCATTTATTGAGACTATTATGCAGTGTCTTCAGGAGCTATCATGTAGTTTTTTTAAGCAGCGTATGATACAGTATTAAAATATGTTGGTTACAGTATTAAATATGCAGTGTATTGCAGTGCAAGAAAGGTTTTACTACAAATAAAAAAAACATGGTTACTTGTAAACTATGGTAACCACAAATTAATCATGGTTTTGCTAAACTAACTATAGTTTATCCATGGCATTTGTAGTAAAACTGGTTATACAAATGGTAATCAATATGCCAAAAAGGGCCTGCAACTCTTATATATGAGAGTTTTGATCAAATTACATTTACATGAGCTGTTGTATTTAATATACACATTAGGGATGTAACAATATATCATGTCACAATATATCGCAATACAAAAATGCAACAATATATCATGGACAGTGACAATATGTATATCGTTTAAAGTTCACCTTTAAGAAAGTTTAAACAGATTACATCAAATATGGTAATGGCTCATCAAATATGGGAAACTCAGAAAGTCACACATTTGAGCTTCCATGTTTTATTATTTACATAAATAAATTACATTTAAAATACATTATTTCACTGATAAACTGCACTGGGGTCTAGTGATGTTTTAAAACATTTGAAGAACAAATCTTATTAGATATTCTTGATAATCAGTTGCCTAATAGCCTATAAAATGAACCATTCATGAAAATTATGACACCCAAGAAGTAACATAATTTGCTAAATATAAACAATTCTGAACTCTAGATGCGCCAACCATACAAGTTTGAATAAAGCCGAAATAGAGTTAAAATGGCAAGTTTTTTAAATGAATACTTCTTACACATATGAACAGTTAAAAAGTTCTGGTCATTCTCCCCCACGCACAGGCAATGCTGACACCAAAATAGAAATATTCAGATTCTGCAAAATACAGAATTATATTAGACACATATACTTACACTCTGTCCCTGACTAAATATAAAATTATTATGTAGGCTGTTTTAAATAAAAATGTGTCCAGGATGTAGGCCCACTACTAAACGTAAACGAATACTAGATTAAAGCTGCAGTGATTTAAGGCCACAGGCAGGGGGCGCCATAGGACTGACCTAACACAGTACACCGTGAGCCGACTAGTGTTATTATGTTGGCATAATACAAAGGCGACCTGCAATACTATTATGCTTAAAATATCACCGGCTCATGGTCTATCCTCTGCTTGTCAACTGAGAAACTGTGATTTCTTTCCGTTCACCATTCCCTGCGGCGGCCATATTGTGGGATGCGTTGCTGCAAGTTAAACCAATTCAGAGCGGAGGGTGGGGGAACATCTGCGGGAGTCCATCCACTATTCCTAGAGCTGTCTTTTGTCATGTAGCATAGCCACACAATCTCTACCGGTTCCGGTTTAAAGGTTTTTGTTTGCTAGGATTGGTCACTGTTACTCTTTTCCTTTTACTGCAACACAAGAACAAAACCAAGTAACGTGACTGGATTAATAATATCTATCACGGATTTTTCCTCTATTGGACACAGCATTTATTTATCACGTCTCGTGAGGTGTTACATGGCAAAGGAATGGGACAGACTGTGATTTTCAAGTTGAACACAACAATACCACTTTGAGTGCTACACTGAAACATATACCGAGGACGAAGCGGTCGGAAGGCGTATGTAACCTCAAGAAAAAAAAGAACCGATTCGGCAAAGGTAAGAAAACTGATTCGGTTCCTTTCGTGAAAGTGTAGTCAAATGGCCTAGTCTCCTCTCGCCGTTGATTTTGTGTGAAACGAGTGTGATTGATGGTGCTTGAAAACAACAGTAGGCGCTTAGTTCAGTGTTTTCTCCTAACCTGAATACAAATCTCTGCGGCAGACGCTTTCTTGTCCCAGAACTAGTTGTATTTCTCAAAAGAAGTCCCGACTACCGCGCTCTCTTCGACACAGACCGAGAATGAAACGTGGCTCCTCAAAGTTCCCACCTGAACTATTACCGAGGAAACGCTCTAAACGTCCCGTTCGCAATTAATCGGACGTTATTGTGAACGCCAGTACTTTGAAACTGATCTATACTCGCGTGTCTGTCTTTTTATGAGGATTTTGTGGACGAAATGTCCACAGTGCAGGCCTGTAGTTTACATAGACGCCACAAGGAACACGGTGCGATTCATACTTTGGACCAGTGTGTGAACGACTCGCTTTGATATAGTGTAATTCTTTATCAGTAAACTATGTAGGCTAAGTTTCCGCGACAATTTCAGCTTATAATAATGTTTGAGAGGTATTCGTGATCAGTTGTGCAATCTTAACAATAGACCTTTCCAGTGCGTTGTAGGTCTTGCACAGTTAACCATCCACCCAGTTTGTAGGTACTCACAACATCCGGGCATTCACACCATTTTTGGTTGTTTACATAGAATAATTAATGAAAAAGATGTCATAACAAAGCCGAGTTCGTGCGTGCGCAAGTGCCTGAATAACCCTCCTACAGTAATCCTTCTGTGAGCACAACCTCTGCCCCCACTGGATGATGCTGACTTGACTCTGAGTGAAGGGAATGATACCATCTTCAGCTCTCTGATCTGTTTCCTTTTGATCCTTACTTCTGTATACTACATGTTACTACCACTGAGTCACGCAGGTTATGGCCCTTTTGTGGGTTTCAATCTTGTAAATGGAAAGAATCCCCAAATATGATATGAAGATTTCTGACCTCAGTGACCTGTAATAATTTCAAGATTGCAAAACCAATTTTGATGCCACAGCAAAACTTGAAAAACACACATCTATATTTTAAAAGACAAATATAGCAAAACAGACTTCAGGACAGATTGCGTTTTAATAAAGTAAACCAGTAATATTGTGAAATATTATTACAATTTAAAATAAGTCTTTTGTATTGTAATATATTGTTTTATATTGTAATATTTCAAAATGTAATTATTGTAATGCCAAAGCTGAATTTTCAGCAGCTATTGCTCCAGTCTTCAGTGTCAAACGATCCTTCAGAAATCATTCTAATATGCTGAGTTGATGCTCAAGATCAACATGAATATGTATGTATTATTTATTGACAGCCCTGATATTACAGTAAAAATTCTGTTGAATTTTTCACCAAAACAAGGGCCTGAAACCAGAAAATCCCCGGTTTAAGCAATATACCACACATATGATTAGCTTGTTGGATTCGTTCTGAAGTTTCCCACTCTCAGTTCAGGAACTGTCTACACTCCATGTCCCTTTATGATCCTTTATTCACACACACATCAATGAGGAAGCGTAAATCACTGGGAAGATAAGGGATTTTAGCCTAAAGACTGTGTACATAGAATGACAGTGATCAGTGATGTCATTCTGAAGTTATTTTTGCCCTATCATTCACTAATATGCAGTGCAGATGTTATTATGACAGGGCTGAAAGTAATACTACGTTGACTACAAACACATTGGTTAAATCTCTGTCTTTGCCAAAGATGTAACTATGTTTATTCATGATTCTAACAGGGGTAGAAAGGGGTTGACTATGGCAGTTATGGGTCTATACATTACTCATGTCCATCTTTTTCTGTCCTCCCTCACCCTTCACTCCAGCCTTTGACAGGCACAGCAGGTGGCTTTTGTGGTATGAATGGACTCGGAAGGAAGTTTGTCCCCCTCCTTGCTTGGCTCTGATTGGCAGCAGCAGCAGAATGCCATGGTGATTAGGCCATTCTGCAGTGCTGTGAGTCTGCCAGATCAACTACAGTGTTACACTTAATGTTCAGCAGTCAGCTCAGCCAAGCTCTGTATTTACTAACACAGCGATTTCACTGAAAACCAGAAAGTGCTACCTTAGGATGAGGATTAGAGCTCAGAGATAGTATGGGATCAAGAATGTCGGTAGGCAGTGACATGATCAGCAAAGTATAGAAAAGTATTGTGGGTCCTTCAAAACAGCAATGAGAGAACTTTCTTCCTGCATGTCCATGGAATTGTTATTTTATAGGTTAGAAGTAGCAGACTTTGTGTAGGCTATTCTCTTTTTTTTTTAAGTTTAATGGAAAAGTGCAGGTTTCACTTTAAAATTCATGACCATTCCAGGCTGCATTGTGTTGTTTGTGCATGTGGTGGACATGGAATACAACAGAACTGTACAAGATCAGACTTGTATCGTTGGTTATGTAACTTCAGTGCTGGGACAGCCTGCTTTGAAGAAGCAGATTTCTTTCATGTAGGCGGATCAACCCACCTGTCTGCTTTCTGCCAAAAAATCAGAAGTCACCTCCCCATTTCTTTGTTGGCGTGATATTAATGGTACAGGTGATGTGTGTCCATTTGTTAGTTCACACAATATTTATAGCTGGGGATAGTTCACACACAAAAAATGGCATAACTTCCTTGCCCTCATGTCATTCCAAACCTGTAACACACAAAAAAGTTTATTTATTTATTTTGTTTGTCAATACAATGAAAGTCAGTAGGGCCCAATGTGGTTTGGACCCCACTGACTTTCATTGTGTGAACAAAAATGGGTGAAACATTCTTCAAAATATCTACTTTTCTATCATGACAGCTCTCTGAAGATTTTAGCATGGTAATGGATATGGCAATGTTTATGCATTTGGTCTTGGCAGAATAGATCTGCTACGCTGCTGAATTGCTACTGCTGTTGGTTATTGCCATTGTTGTAGATTATTGTTGCTGCAGCACTGCAAGTACAGGAACTTGCTACTGCCAATACATACACTAATACGGTGATGTGAGTATTTAAGACATACTGCTGCTGCACAAGTAGTATATATATATAATAGTGCTGGGCGGTATACCGGTTCATACCGAATACCGGTGTGACAAATATCCACCGTCCCCTGCCATCAGCTCCCACGTCTCACACACACACACAAGCGCGACTTTAGCACTAGATTTAGCAACGAGGCGCATATCTTTAGCAAAGCGGCGCAGAGAGCTGCTTCTGGGACGCTTATGAAACGTGCCGCGGCTCCACAGGTGTAAACACAAGCATTGTCTAGAGTGGCCGCGTCGGAGCTGTAATGTGCCGCAGACGTGTGCAGTGTAAAAAAAGGGGTAAGTCACTCTCGCGGTATTTAGACGTCATAAACCGATCGGTCTGCTTCAAGTCGAACACACAGCTGCTGCTGCCACCTTATGACAATAAGATTTAGACAGATTTACACTTCAAATTAGGTAGTCTGTCATCGATGACAGTAGCTCATTGGAAAAGGATGGAAAATGCCCTTCATTTTGTTTGCACTAATAAATGCTGCTGCCTGCCAGCTGCAATCACCAATAAAACGTTTTGTTTTTTTCTGTATCGTCATAAATATAGTTATCGCAAATATTCCTGAAATATCGTGATATAATTTTGAGTCTATATCGCCCACCCCTACTTGAAGGACATCTCAATTCTCTAATTGCACCATGAGGAACAAGAAGTGAGGAAGCTTTTGGAGGAGCTATGAGCGAAGATACACAGGTGTATTCTATGTGAAAAAACCTGACGCATGTGTAAATTCTCCTTGTTACATTCTACCCTGTCACATCTGTCACAATTTGAATTTATGTTTTACCTTTGCAATTTACATAAACCATGCATTTAACGTATTTCACAAATAAGGAATGAGAAGCACTCGATGATAGAGTTTTCATTTTTGGGTGAACTTACCCAGTACCTTGTATAGTTCAGATTGGAGAAAGTATCACCTTCAGTAGTACTCATGTTGGAAATGCAGTATTAAATCCTAGTCATTGTTAATGCAGTGATCAAGACCTGGGACACATACCACTGCAGACACTGAAGTAAGCATACATTCAAACAGCACGCATGGATCTCTGCAAAGCTGTTGATTTTCTGCCCTTAATCCATTTGATCTGACTAGCGCTGGCATGAGGCCCCATGTTTCATGTCATGTGGCATTCTGATGCTCTGACTTAATCAGGTCTGTGTGCAAATGTGTCTGACCATCATTAACCATGTCACCGTACGGCCGCCATGAGCAAGGACCCGTGGCTGTGTCAGCTCACTCTCTCCAGTCATGTATTGGAGCAGCGGGGCTGATGATTCTAACAGAGTGCTTTTCGAGGCTCTCATCAGCGCTCAGGGGATAATGAGACGTCTCATAATTAGAGAGTTCATATCACTGACTGGTTGATTAGAATGTGGGTCAAATGATTGGCGTGTAATATGATTTATAGAGGACGGAGAGGACGTGTCATTACAGGACGTCACTGATAAAGAGGGAAAGGCATGAATGACTTTAGTCCCATAGTTCCAAGCTGCTTTTGTATGCAAACAAGTTTCGGGTCGGTTACATTTATTTATTCTACAGGGCTGTTGAATGCTTGAATCTGATTGGCTGACGAACATTCTAAGGTGTGCAATTATTTTCAGGGAAATGCACGGCTAAAGTAGTTACAGGCGAGTCTTGACTGCATTACATATCCATATCACTTCGGCAAATTATTTCAGTTATATCAAAGGTCCACACAGCCTACAACCACAAAAGAACCAAAACCCACAATGACACTGACCAAGCAAATAAATATAGTAAACAATAAGATAAAAATGACAAATTACAGTGTTTTGGAATTGACAACGGAGGCATTGGATGAGATGCGTAAGAAATTCCTACATGCAAAAACCTGATGAATGTCTTGAAATACAATCTGAGCAATGTCATTAGGTGTGGTAACCGTAGTATAAGCAGAATAATT